CTGCTGCTGTGCAAAATCTAGTTCAGGGTCCCCAACTGGTAAACATTTTCAATAGAGAAATGCTTCTTTCTTTTATGCATGCTGTAAAATAATCTATTGCTTAGTAAAACTACATTTCCTCCCAGTTTCTTGCTCATTTAGGTCCAAAAATCAGTCCCCACTGGGGTGAACAGGCCAAATTTGAAGGTAGTCATGTATATCTGATGAGGCAGCGCATGGCACTAGTGGTGCCATCAGCCAGTAAAATTCAGGAGAAGGCTGAGTTTGTCACAGACAATTTATGGTGACATAACAGTTGGCTAAAAGGGGATTTGAAATGTGAGCTTCCATCTAATGACACCACCATGGTCATCTGCAAAGGCACTGATGAAAAAGCAAAGAGAGGTGGTGCTTCATGATCATTAGCTGCAAATCACACCACCTCGAGAAACGTATCATAGGGTAAGAAAGATTTATAGGAATGTAAGTCTCAAAACACTCACTTGAAAATGCTCCAGTGCTTTCACAACAATGGAAAAGAAGATGACTGATTAAGTGCCAAAGTGGTTTGCTGGATGCCACCTTGGGAGAAAGCCTTTGCAGCGTTTATCATTTCTCTTAAAATAAACAGGCTCAACTTCAAGTGGCAGCCCTTCAAAACACAGGTGTCCTTTTGCACCAGTTTTGACCGTGATTTCAAAGCTGTGCGGATGTATCAGCCTTGCAGACATACTGCTTTTAACATATCCTCGATCAGTGCACTCCATCCCTTCACCACTAGTTCTGCATCTCAATCACTGTCTTTATTGTCTTCTGCCCAAGCTTACAAACCCTCACATGCTTTATTTAAAAGATGCTGCAAAACACGTATCAGTTTTGTGTTTATCTGAAAATAAACGCAAGGAGGAGTATAACAGCATGAACAGTCCTAAAGGAACATCTCGGAGGTAGAAAATAAATGCAACCTACAGCCAAGTAAGATCCCAATATTAGAACTCGGTAAATATTTCAGTACTGAAGTACCAAGCTTTGGCTGATAAAACTACCATTTCTCCATTGATTTTAGCTGGGTAGGCATGATTTATCACAGTCAAAGAGCTATCCAGAATTATATATAAGCGTTCTGAGCTCAAGAGCACACAGTCAATGGTTGTGGTGTTAATACAGCAGATCGTTCTCACATTCCTCTCAGTAATCTTGATATCAATAATTGGAATGTACTTTCACACTGAAGAAACAAGTTAAAATACAGTTAAAAAATTTAATAAAATTATTCATATTATTCATAATAGCAACCAGAGCCTACCACTCGCTGATGGTCCAGAACTCTTGATTTCCAAAAGGCATTTGATTTTTGTATCCGTGCCCAGATCTGTAGAAGTATTCACCTATGTCGGAATTTGCATGAACCACTGAAGTGGTAAAGATTAAAATGACCTACAGAACTACAGCACTATATTCCTGAGATCTCAAACCATCCGTTGGATCAGTGTAGATTCTGCTGATCACTGAAATATGTAGATCGGCAGGAAATGCAAACTTATTCAATCTCTTAAAAATGTCAAGCTCAAAAACTACCAAAATCTCAGGCTAGAAGCAGTATTAAGCACTTTTAAATCTAAATTCTGCTTAAGACCAATTCTGTCTTCACTAAATACTGTGAAGACAATCTCCTCTCAGAACTGAAACCTCTACAAAGTTATAAAAACACAAGAAAACACAGCAGCCCTGACCAAGGCCACTGTTACAGAATCAGATTTTTAAATGGATCAGTAGATACATTTAAGCTTTACAGGTTCATCAGGATCATTCTCAACATGCTCATACGCATTTACCTGCACACATAGATATCCCTATCTACCTTACATACATCCACTAAAATGCAATCTTCATTTTTGAAAGTATGGCCTGTCCAAGCCATCTCACACACTCATCACTACTCCTTTGATCATTTGATCTTTTAGTGGATTTTTGTCAAAAGCATATAGAGAATGATCAATACCTTTTTTTCCTTCCTGACTTTCAAAATAAATTCCATGTTTTTATCAACTTTTCATTAATAGTTTCACATGTCCAGTCAGACAACAGAACAGCAATGACACAATCCAGAAACCTATCAGGAAAACACACCTTTATATTTAGGAGTGGCTAAGTATGGCTGTGCAATTAAAGGATAATACCGAGACATCAGACGCTGTGTTTAATTTCTAACTCTTCCACATGCTCCCTGTGTTACCTGGAGGCAGAAACACAAGCTTTCTTATCTTTTCTATCTAACTCTTCATCTCTGTAACAGACAGAAAAACAACGTGGCCTTTCTCGCAGCCTCTCAAGAGGCAGAAAGCTTTCCCGGATTTGAGCCACCTTGTACCGAGCCCATGCAGTGACAGAATCCTGGCGTTGGAACTGGCCTTTAGACAATATGGCAAAACAAACTATAAATACTACAGCTACTATGAGTAACGAGGACACTTCAAAAACCAGCCACTTCACACGCTGGAGCAAAGCAGGGGTAGAGTAGAAAGAGAGACAGAAGTAAACAAGTCCAAGGTCCCGTGCAGGGTTCAGTGGAGTAAGTATTTCTCATCTGACAAAAGTAACACTGTCGGGTTGTCGTGCTGAGACATAGAAATCAGTTTAGTTCTTGAGAGCATCCTTCAAGAGTGGTAGGGGGAAGGCAACTACTACTGTGTAATGTGCTGAACAGTATCTTGGGGGCTCTCCTACCACATCTTCAGCTGGAGAGCTCTGCAGTGAGCAGGGGCACTAGGAGCCTTGCAGTGGGACCAATGACCTTAGCTTCACTGCAGTGCAGGGAAGAAGTTGTAGGGGCATGGACGCAGGAGGAAGAACTCAGGTGGTCATGCGTGAACCTGGATGCATATCCAAAAAGTGATACTCATAGCTCAAAACACCAAAGGAAGAGGTAGCAGGAGAGAAAACAGCCCACCTTGACTCCCTGCCCTAGCTGAGGTCCCTCTCAGAGGTGCCCTCCTCCACGTGAGCTGGAAGCACAGCTATCGTGCAGGGCTATATACCAGAATTTGTGAGATCACATCCATGCCAATCAGGTACCCCGTAGTCCAGACTTCAATGTGGTCGCACCACTTGTTCCGGACAAAAAGAGCGAGTCAGGTTAGACAAAGCTGCTCCTCCATGTTTACTCTGGCTGCTGTTTGTTTATTTATTTATTTATATTAATGCTGTGACTGGGCCTCAGTGGGCACAGTGGCATTTGAACTCCTGCTGTAAGTGTTCCTGTAGGCTGGATTATTCCCTTCTTACCACCTGTTTTTGAGAGCCTTCCATTCTGACCACTGAGGTGAATATTTTTAGCCAGCATCTTTACTACATCAAACAGTTATTATCACTCCAAGCACTCTTTTCATTAGCCAAACATATCTCCACACTCCTTTAAGTCAAAACCACCACTTCTACTTAATGGAATAGCAATTAACTTGAAATACTTGGCTTTTTACTGCAATGCATCACTCTTTCAAAGCCTGATATGCTAATAAAAATTGTATGCTAACATAATGTATAAAATATCATCTCTGATTTCAAACTAAACCAAGATTTATTGGCTCCAACAGTGCAATACTGATCTAGTCAATGAATATTAATGTATTAACTTAGGTAGCAGAGTCTTATGCCATCAGGGAACTAAATCAGAGTGGTACAGAAAATACAGCATTACACTGGAGAAAGTCTCAGTATTCTCTTTCAACAGGATTTTACTTTTACTTAAATCTGAATGTAATTGTAGACTGAAAATTAAACTTTTTTCCTGTCTGGTTGCTCTCCACCTTCATAACAAATTTGCTTCCCCCCCCTGTTAAAGAGATTAATTGAAAATGCTATAAACAAAAATCCCAAGTTCTTTTATTTCTTCTAATCATTACCAATTACAGAATGCTAGCAGGAAAAAATACGCCCTTGGTAATATCTCTACAACCCACCTCCTGCTTTTGCTTCTAATCCAGCTTCTCTGAAAAACGCAAATCTATACACTTATGTCTGTAGCGATAACGGTACAACATCACTGCTGTAAAAATGTTTGTTTACCTCAACAATGCTTAAACTCCAAAGCCTCTTACCGGCATGGAAAAAAAGTAATTTAAGTGTTTAAATGTTTAAAATGCTATTGAGAAACATCCACCTGAAATCTAGCCAGCAAGGCTCCATACAGTGCTACACCCATCTATTTCACCTGACAAAGGAAGTTTATGCAATGCAAGATGACATGAGTAACTGATGATTGATTTAGCTCCTCATAAATAACTGAGTACTCCCTAAATTCATGAAAGAACAGATAAGTATAGGAAGTAACCAGAGTACTGAGATGAAAGTTCCCTGCCAACAAAAAAATTCAAGCGTGAAGGAACAGACAAAACAATTTAAGAAAAAAAAAAGTATGAAACCAAATCTCAACCTGCTGCACAGTTCAGGTAGCACTTCAGTTTTAAGTAATTCTGTGGAGGTTTTCTTTGCATTTCTTTTTTTGTTTGTTTCTTTTTTTGTTTGTTTTGCTTTTTTTCAGGATGGAAAAGGCCATTCCCACCTTATCCCTTTTAAGAAAAAATTATTGCTATACATCCAATTCTAGCTCCATTCATTATTCATTCAGAGATTTAGTATTTTATCCTGCAAACAACCTGTTATTGAAAATCTTTTGGAAATGTCTCTTGTGACCTTTGGGATGTTTTCTTAAAAGAGGCATAATTGTGAAATAAAATTGTGCAGCAGACCTTATACACTGATGTCTCACTGGGTAAACTCAATTAAGGTCAAGGTCAACTGTTCTTTCGTTATATTCTGGTAGTGGAAACTAATCCAGGAATAAGTCATAGCAGCTTGATTAAGAAATGCAGTTATTGAAATAGTAGATATTTGTGCTATCACTAATGTATTATAAAACTAAGAGATGTGTCAAAAGTTTGATTGGGAAAGTTCTCATTTATACTTATTGATTCTATTGACAACTCTGAGTTACTAGTGCAATGTTCTGGAAATACACTCACTGCCGTTCCTCAGGCACAGCCCGTGACAGGCGGTGGCACGGTGTTTGGCAGCTTGTTACGGCCCCCGGTCTCGCTTGGCAGAACGCGTCACGGAGAACCGCTACGGCGAGGGGACAGCCGGAGCCGCTGAAACCCGTGTTGGGGAGCAACGTGCGGAGGACAGAGCAGATTTCCACTGCACTGCGCATGCGAAAGCGCTACCAAAGCAACAATACAGAGTAGGGGAAAAATGCAAGAGGCTCCGCTGAGCACGTCCCCTTGTTACAAGGGGGTTGGAGTGTCACCCCCTTGTCCTGCCCATCAAGAAGAGGCTGAAGGGACTCGTGGCACCATCTGTCTGCAGCGGAAAGCGTGAGCTGGGAGCAGGTGGGAGAGACAGATGGCAAAGAGCTGAGGTACGGACAGAATGCAGGAGGAATGTGTTCAATTCTGTTTTACCTGAAACGTTCTTGATACTGCTGGAACTGCACAATTAGGAAAAATGGCCTTTTCTAAAGAACATAATGAAATAAGACAAAATAAGTACAATACCTCCCCTCAGTGCCTTTTTTTTTTTTTCTTCTCCTCTTTCTCACAGTGTGATATTGCTAGTGTTTCAGTCCAGGTCTGATTTTTAAAGTAGTTATTCATGGAGCAGGTCGAGGGAGGTGATCCTGCCCCTCTACTCAGCCCTGGTGAGGCCGCATCTGGAGTATTGTGTCCAGTTCTGGGCCCCACAGCACAAGAGGGCTGTGGAGCTGCTGGAGAGAGTCCAGCGCAGGGCTACCAGGATGCTCAGGGGCCTGGAACATCTGCCCTATGAGGAGAGGCTGAGGGAGCTGGGCCTGTTCAGCTGGAGAAGAGAAGGCTGAGAGGGGATCTAATCAGTGTCTATAAATACCTCAAGGGAGGGAGTGAGGAGGACGGGGATGGTCTCTTTTCAGTGGTGGGCACTGATAGGACTAGAGGAAATGGCCGGAAACTGAAACATCAAAAATTCCATAGGAACTTAAGGAAAAATTTCTTAACAGTGAGGGTGACAGAGCACTGGAACAGGCTGCCCAGAGAGGTTGTGGAGTCTCCTTCTCTGGAGATCTTCAAAACCCACTTGGATGCAGTCCTGTGCCACGTGCTCCAGGTGACCCTGTGTGTGCAGGGGGGTTGGACTACATGACCTCTAAAGGTCTCTTCCAACCTTAAGCATTCTATGCTTCTATGATTTGTCAGAAAAGCTGAATACACATATTCAAAGACTTAGGGTTGGATGGGATACATCCACGGATGCTGACAGAGACAGCTGTATGGATCCACCATGTTGATGAGAGATGGATACAATACTACCTTGACTGATTAACAATTTTGAGGCTGTGTTCCACTACATGCTCACTTGAAGGCTGAAGTATGGGCTAGAAAAGCAAGTAGGTTGAAAACTGGCTGGTCCGCCAGTCCTAAAGGAAAATAACCAATGGCTCAACAACTGACCAGGATAGCCCAACATCAATAGCAGGCTGATACTGTTCAATATCTTCAGCAACTGCCTGAGTCATACAAGAGACCCCTCAGCAAATCCATGGACAATTCTAAATGACCTTTCAGCATCAATCTCTCCTGGAGATTGAGTTCAGAAGGGTCTTGGTAATCTTAAGGATTAAGCCAACAGAAGCCTAATCAAGTTCAGCACAAAATTCTGCACCTAGGATAAAATAATCCTCTACGCACTGAGTAAGGACTGCAGGATCATGGTGGACTCTAAATTGAGTATGAAGGAAATAACTATAATGAGAGGTTAAGGTCACTGGGCTTGGTTAGTTTAGCAAAGAGGAGGCAGCCAAGAGGCAATCTAATAACAATCCCTTCCGACCAACATTCCCATGGAAAGATTATTGTCTGGCTTTCTCACCCAGCCCTCCTGACAGATGTTCCAGTGACAAAAAGCCACAAAGAATAAATCATGGATACCTGTACCTAGTATTTCTAGTACTCTATCTTCTTTGTAAAGAAGATAAAATCAATGACATCTTCTGATCCTGTCTGAATCTGCCAGAGAAATGGTAGGATAGGCTGGTATGTAATTTGTATTTATTTAGGACAGGTTACATTAATCTTAAACAATCTCTATGACACTTGAGACATGCTTGTGTTTTGGAACATCTGGAACACTTCTTACAGGAAAGCCACTTGAGACAAATTGATTTATTCTCTTTGGCAGGATTGGGATTGTCCAAAAACAAAGCCTGGACACAAGGAAAATAACAAAATGTTTCTAGGGATTCATCTTATTAGTCATCTAAAAGTTGTGCATCTAGGCTCAGCCAGTCATTTAGGCCATGTTCTATAGTTTGTCTAGAGAAACACTTGCAGAGGTATTCAATTCCTGTTTTAGGTGGATGGAATAATTTCCTCCTCTACTCCCTTCCTCTCCTATTAGCGCACCTGTATCTCTTCACTCCCACAGTAGGGAAGAAGCCATTTCAGAACAACATGAAAAGTGGTCCTTACTAGGGCAGAGAGGAATCTCTACCTCTACAGCACCGAATCTGCTACGTGGCCACGCGCCGGAAGAGAAGATACAAGAGAAATAGCAAACAAAAATACTACTAGATCACTATACTTTTATTAAGCATCATACGTAAAGAAAACTCCAAACACGTCTCCACAACTCTCTGTCTTCTATAAATTGGAAGCTGGCTGTTGTGTAGCTCTGCTCACAGAGTATCTTTAGAACTGAACTGATTTCAGCTGAAAATACGCTCAAACATTTTTGAAACAAAGGTAGGAAATGGCAACAGAATTGTAAATAATGAAAATGATTTCTTTTGACACAGAGACAGGAAATGACTGTTTTAGATTCTAAATCCTGAGTTTAATACATTTCCCTCATGAGGAAGAGTGGAGAGACAGTGACCCAGCTCATTCAAAGGCATCTGAGTATATTACACAAATGTTCAGTGAAAACTGAAGACCTACTTAACTACAAAACCCAGCAAATCAACATTCAAATTCCAGCCTTACACGATTAACTCAGGCAAACACTAAAAATATACTCTTCCTTAAATCTATGGACTGCATAGCATGTCTGGGAAGCTGCAGTCTAAACTTTCAAGTCTTGTTGTAGTTTATTTGTTTTCCACCTATTCCACATAGATCTTCTGAGTGAAACTTTCCAAAAATTCAGGTAGACCTCTCCATCAAAAGATACAAACTTGCCTGTGCTACCATACAGTGTCATCTTCTACATGCTCAGGGACACCTATCTGAACCACATTAATATCACTTCAATATTCAGTGTCTTCCAACCTGGAGCCTCTCTGCAAAGCATCAACTTCAGCCATGTACAAAACAGTTTAGCTGACTCTTTCACCAAATGTATTATATGCAGAGAGTTTAAGCAGCTAGCCAGTTATTAAACCATGCAAAAGTTAGAGCTGCTAACATTCACTGTATGTTCCAGATAATCCTAAATTTCATAAATCACATTAAATAGCTTGTAATCTTCACTCCTCTTTTAATGCCTTCTCTGAAGAATAAGGATTTTGTTTTCCTGCTGTAGGTCTTTTAGGGAAGACCTGATCAGCTGAAATTAATTATAAGAGATGGCACCACACGAAGCTCAGCACTGAAAACAAACATTTAGATTCCAGAGCACACACTTGCTATGTCATGGCTTGCTAAGTTTTTCTGTGCTCCATAAAAGACTTCTAATCCTTCCTAATAACTTCTGTGAAGGAAGGAAGATGGAATCACATTCAACTTCGGAGGAAATAAAGGAAAAAAAAAACACAGCATGTCTTTGATTTGACTTATTAATCCTCATTAATGACTCAATCAGCAGGATCTACCACTTACCTTCTGGTTTTGTATTATTGCAATCATGAGCAAGAGAACAGAAACACAGAGAAAAACAGGGAAGGCATCAATCAGTTCACGGAAGGCATCAGTTCATGGAAGACACTGAGGCTCTCAGGGCAAATTTTGTCTCATCTAACTTTTGTCTTAGCTAACTTTCTCAGGACTTGTATGAAGGATTCCTCTCTTATGAGTATTTCCCACCTGAATTTCCATCTCAGGTCCTTCTATACACACACATACAAAATCTAGCATTTTCCTAAGAAGAATGAAGATCCAGAATCTTTTGTGACACAAGCTTGGACAGGGAAAGTCAAGAAAGATGACACTGAACTACCACTAGCAATGAATGTTCTTTATATTAGAACACGTTTTTCCTCTAATGAGCTGAATATTGACAATACTAATATTTTATTTTATCTTCCTACTGAAGAAAATTTTTTGTCCATGCTCTTCAAAATCTCAGCTGCCTCACAAAAATGGCTCTAAAAATAGAGGCTGCCCATCATATGCCATAACAGCATTAGCAAACACAGTCACCAGACTGGATACTGGGACGGGATTTGTAGCACAGCTTTCCTTTTATTTTCCAAGTGGATGTCTTCACAGAAATAATATTACCAGGCTGAAGGTGATTCCACTACACCAGGTACTAAACCAGAAGGAAATGCATAACTCCCTTTAAAATCTGTTCAGTATGAAAAGACCCACTAATGACAGGCCAGGAAAGGAAACAGAAGATTATTCTCATAACTGATCCAAACTTAGTTTTAAAGGTAGGATGGCAAATATAAAACAATGACATTTGCTGCTTCACTTGGCACTTAACAGAGTATGATATCTGAAGTAAAAATAAATTGAGAAAATCATATAGCAGAGCATTGCACCTGATTTTGAATCAAATCCCATCTGTTACGGTTACTTTTTTGGCTTCAGACTCCTCTAGTGTTTCTAGCTATATCTTTTATATTAAATAGGGAGAGTCCTTTAGTTTTCTTTGTACAGATTAATGTGCAAGAGGGAGAGGTCAAGATGCAGAATATATTTCATTACAGATGAATAGATGTGAATAGATTGTCATGGTATAGGGTCCAGAACACATAAAATCATGAATTCTTCCTGAAACAGGTCATTTTCAGATCTGAGCACAGTTAAAATTGAGGGTATTTTGTACTTCCCAGAACTGAAGCTGCATACAAAATTAAAAACTGCTTTTAATTACAGCACTCAGATCTTTCTGAGGGGGATCCTAATCACAAGGTACTCTGCATGCCAAGTGATTTCTTCCTCCCAACAAGCACCAGCTCTACTGCCTCAATTGACCTTTCCCAGCAGCTCCTTTTAAAGGAAAGAAAAGGCCATGTAACTAAGC